GAGCTGAGCTGTGGGTGTGGAGTCTCCCACTGGGAGTGTTACTGCTGCATCACTGAGCTGCTGCCTCTTCTCCAGGCTCTATACTCACAGTACAGTGGAGTCTCCCACTGGGAGCTTGTTGGTTTTTCACTGATTGTGCCAGTGGAGTCCAGAGTGCCTCACAGTGCCGTTGTGCTGTTTTGCAGTGTGTGGAGCTGAGGTTCCGGGGAGAAGCCTTGAGAGACTCCAGTGAGAGGAGAACAGGATTTGGGCTGTAAAAACGTTGCTATGTGTTCACTCAGCTGTCCGCTGGACTGGCTGCATTCACCTGCCTTATCTAGAACAGCTGTGGCGCCAGGGAATTGTAATAAAATCATTTCCCACTCTTACTCTGATAGTCTCTTTTGTTTGCATTTATTATTGCTAAATGTGTTGCTGTTACCGGAGAGCCCTGGTTTAGAGAGACTATGAATGCCTTTTTACTGTCCCCTTGTTCAGCGTGTAGCATTTGTGTTTAGTACAGGGTGAACGTGTCTGAACATTCAGAAGTCGGGCTCAGTCAGGAGGGGGAGAGGGGTGTCAAATGGAAGTTAAATCGCATTGCTGTATAAAGTGTTATATAATGATCCAGCTTCCTTCTCCCCTGGCTGGAAGCACAGGAATTCGGTCTTCGGTTCAGCAGCGAGTGTGCTCTTTCGTTTTGTCCTTGTGTCAAGACGAGCCGCAGATGGAAACGATGTGGCGCACACTAAAATACCGTGGGCACGCACATTCAAAAGTGCACGAGGGGAATTCTACCGGTGAAGTAAAAAAAACCGAACCGTGTAAGTGGAGACCCGGAGACGTGCGCTCTGGGAGGGCGTGTGGAGACGGACATTTCCATCTGCAGCACAAGAGCTTCGTTTGCGCTCTGGAGACACAGGTAGCACTTTTAAAAGCATCACGTACATCGCACGGCGCAATTGTAAGAAAATAGAAAGTTTATTTTTATGAAACGTTATTGAAATAAGAATCCTGGAACAGCGATAAAGCTGAGCTGTAAAACAGCAGAGAGACTGTATCACCCAAACCCGTCACAGAGGCTCTGACAGTCAGTCTGTTCCTCTCCAGGATTTAATCTGATCTCAATCAGACTCCCAGTGTGCAGCAGTCTGATCCACTCCAGGGTTTACAGTGCTGTCAGTCAGACTCCCAGTG